ACGAGAATATTTTATTGTATTCGCGGTTTTAATTTTTTTGTTTTGTTGTTCTTTTTATAGTTTATTTTTCGAGTAATGTAGATTTGTCAAGAGATTTATATTCTAAACGTGAAATTTTTCTTAAAATTAAAATATTTTTCTGGCTTAACTTCCATTTTAATCGAATTTATTCAAATCAAGATTGAATTTTTAAAATTTACCTTAAGGAAAGAATTGATTGATAAAATTCTTTTTAAGACATGAACATGAAAAAAAAATTAGAGGTTCCTCCCTCCACGTTAAACTTGTTCATCCATCCATTAGAAAATAAAATTTGTTTCTTTCAAGCCGGAATTGTCCATCACAACTAATGCATCTTACAGTAGGACCTACAATTTCGGATTATCGAGAAACAACAGTAAAATATTATTCAGTGTGTAATGGTTAGAAAAGACAATAGCAGAATCACTAACACAACAGATTCCTTCCTCGATAACGTAAAATTACAGGACCAAAAATACCAGACAAAATCGAATAAAAATCTTACAAGAAGCCTGACAAAAACTTGTACTACCGGCATTTTCTCCTCCTTCCCTTTTTCTTTTCTCATTCGAAGTATTTTCGTGCGAATCTCTCCGGAGAAAAATCTACTTTGATAAGTTTAAAAATGCATTAAAAAATTCGGTAAACTCGAAATTAATTTCTTTTACCACTCTTATAACACAAGTAAGGACGAGGTATTTAATTTTAACACGATATCATCACGCTATAGTTAAAAAAAAAAGTAAGCATCTTTAGAATCTGCCAAGTACATCTAATTGTTGTTACGTTGAATAGTATCTGAAATCTTCTTGAGATGATCGTATGTGTGACCGTGCATCCATCCGTTAACCGAGTTACAACGAAAGCTTTTGTTCCCTTCCAACTTTTCCTTCTTCCGACGCAATTCTCGTAACGACTAACCACATTTCTCCATGTTAATTAACTCCATTAAATTTGCAGTGGAAAATACAGAAAAGTGGTAAAACCCACTAGCGATTTTTATTTATTTATTTATTTTTTGTTTGCTTCGACAGACTGGTTTAGATTCCATTGACCTTTCTAGTCATCAATGTACTGCCGAAGTTGTGAAATCCTTCTTCTTCTTCTTCTTCGCTTGACTGGACTTTTTCTTCTTATTTTTTCTCACGATGTTGCATTTTTTTTTTCATTTTTTGGTTGTTGTAATATTCATTATTTTGTCGTTTCTCTACATAAACGTTCATTAATCATTTTATACTTAAAATATTACTACCGGTGTTGTGAAACGATGGCGATTCCAGCTTTACGACATTTAATATTAGCTTTTTTCTCTCCTTTAAAAAAAAATATTTTGTAAATTATAGGCAGCATTATGATTCATAATCTTTAAATTCATAGTTTTAATATAAAATTACAACAGCTGACAAATTATTGTCATAATTTTTAGTAGAAAGTCTATACTAGTCTTCTATTTCCTGTTATCAAGACACTTCAAACGTAGGCTAGGTTACTTTAGAGGCCTAGACTTATTATAATGAATATTTCACTCCAGTATAGAATATAATAAATACATTATTCTTATTCTGTAGTGGAGTATAGAAGCGTTAATACATCTTCCAACATAAATAATAGCCTTATAAGTTAAACGCCTACGTTTTGTTAGAGGACGGCCGTTCCGTTGCTAATTTAGAAGCATTATCGTGACCATTAGAGCTTTCAGAATTTGAAAAGGAATAATTTCATGGTGAAGAGAAATCGGTTAAGAATCACTCTGTATTCTATCCATCTGGTCCATTTGTATCCAAATTTAATTTCTGGGGTTGAGAAGTATAGCAGCTGTGTAATTTAGTTCGCCTCTCGAGTCCTGTTGGTCGCCAGTGTCCCCCAGGCAGGAGTGATAACATGGCACTCGTTCCCACTTTCCACTCGGATAATTCATCTCTATCTCCCAACCAAGAATATAGTTACTTATACAGATTAAAATTGCATGTATTCTTCTATTAAATTTTTATTAATGCAACTACAGATGTTATTTTGTACTTAAAACTAGCTTCTGGGGTCTTATCATCATTCGTCGACGTGTGTCTAATTAAAGATTTGTCTGATATAAATCTACAGATTTAAGAATTTCTCTCTTAAGAAAATTTAATTAGGAATTAATGTTTCGTTAGATATTCCCGAAATACCTTTTCCTTTAATTAACTAAACTTAAAAATATATCTGAACGGTGAAAAATGCTTTGAAACATTCCAGATTAAAGGGAATTATCTTGGAAGAAGGGCTGAATTTATCTTGATAAACTGAATAAAACCGTATTAAAGATCCGACTGAAATTACGTTTATGTATATAATTAAACTCTATATTATATATTTTTTAAATAATAAAAATAAGAGATTTCCGTGTAGACTAATTTTCCATGTTAAAATATCCTCACCCCTACGATAAGTAATTATAATGTATTAACAAAGGATAAAAAAAAAATTAATGCTTAGTTTTATATTGATCAAACCTTTAATTTTTGTAAATTCGATGATTATACATAATAAGTAAAAAATTTGACTAATGATTTATTCTTATTTTACTTAACGATATTTAACATAAACACGATTATATTGCTTAGAGAAAGTAGTTAAACAAACAATAACTGTATATAATTAGTGCTTGTTGACAGAAAATTACTACTTCTTGATGAATAATGAAGAATTTAACAACAAAATTGGCGTGTTCCATACATCCATCATCAATTCTGTTTGTCGAACTGAGAGAAGGGAGTCATCTTTTCGTTGTTTACTTTTAAAATTCTTTGATTTTATAATTGAGTCAAGCATTTCCTATAGATTAAATTCATTTTAATCCTTTTAATATATGAATAATTTCTTAAAAACAAACAATTAGTTTCTGTCAAGTTCCTTTCTAACAAATATCGCATCTAGAATTCAATACTTAAGGTTCGAATTTTATATTTTTTCTTAAAATTTGAACANAGGAAACTATGTAAGAAGACAATTTTGATCGAGCTTTTGAACTGATATTTCTTAGAATAGCTGCACTGCACACACCTCGTGTGCTACATATCAGCCCATAAATTCTCACAAGTGTATATATGAAGTCGTGGATCAATAAGTATCAAAGTTTTTTTGAGAATTCTTTTGAAGAAAATTTCATTTAACAAGATCATAAACACTGTCCTCATCGAAGGAAAACAGTCATAAATGCTTACTGTTAATTATTTAGTTTTTCTAATCTTAAACATAGTAAATATGTTTGGAATGGTTTAGTAAGCTTTATTATTATTCTATAAATAGCTTGAAAATTATTTTAGAAAAGAAATATGATGATAGAATAATAGGTATTATTGTCGAGAGAGCTTCTATTCAGATTAAAAGTTTTAAATCTACTTTTAAACTGTATTAGTTTAATAAATTTGATCTTAGTTTGGTTAAATAAGTTTTCAATTCATCAAAGTATTAAAAATTATATTAAAATAATTAAATATGTAAAGATTTATATATATATATTATGAAAAAACGTATAATATTTTTAATAATTTTATACATATTTAAATTTTATTCTTGATTAAAGAAGCACGATAAGCACTTGAAAACACATATCGTGTAGAAATATATTATACCAATTCTCACTCTTAACACTGGTAAAGATACACGCAATAATTTGCATTTCTAATTGTTTTTTCTAACATTTCTTTAGTGAATATCTTAAATAATGTTCTTCTAAACAACGTAAAAAAATTTAAATAATGGATATTCTGCATTCATTACAGTAGAGAAGTAATCCCTAAGACCATAAACATTAATTCTACTTGTGAAGAGAAGTTAGTTCTAGAGGAATAAAGTAATTTTTTATTTTATTTTTTAATATTTATTATTGTTAATTTTAAAAATAGAAAAGTTTCTTAGAAAAAAGTGATAGGCCGTTGAAAAAGTTACAGCAGTTTATAACTGGAATCATTTATTTTGTTTGGATCCAATTACTTATGATAAATGAATGATTAATGATTTTTTCCAGGCGATAAGGTTTCTGTAAATGGACTTTGCCTGATAGAAGACGTACATTTCTTCTATAACATGTAAAGAAGTTGGACAAATTACTATCGGGCCCCGAGCGACTCTTTAATGAAAGAAGTGCCATTACTTTAAAGAAAAACTTACTAAATAGTACATGAATACCGACTAGATATCGCGGGTTTTCGATGTAATTACATGGCAAATGTAATATTTATCATTTTGTTAGTGATTTACAAAGTTTAATTGTAAAACCAAAGAGGACCTTCATCATTACTAGTTTATAGATTGATATAACGTGATGCGAGTTATCAATGATTCTGCTCATTGCTCTATCACTTAACCCATTGTCTTTCGAATTTTAGCCTATTTATTTAATTACTTGTGGTGTAATTTTAGAAAAAAATCATTAAATTTCTTAAAAATTTCTAAAGAAGTGTGGTCACATTTACTTCTCGAATGATATAAATATTATTTGTAGAATTACAAAGAATTTATGTGCTTCAAGAGATTAAAAAAAAACATTGTAGCTGTTTAATTCGTGTGCAATATTTTTGTATTGAAATCACGTTGAAACTTTTTAATAGATTTTGTAGCTTCCACTTACTTTAAGAGGTTGCCGTTAGTTTAATTCCAGTTCATATTTTATTGGTTTTTGCTAATCCCCTTGGCATCAAAACGAGAATCTCTCGACATATAAATCAGCCTTTCAATCGTGTGCGATTTATTTCACTACTAGACTCTTGTCGTGTCTCATCCACTTGTAATTTTTATACCTCCTATTGTTCGAGAATTATCATCAGATAAAATACGACAATAGAGTTACCGTGATGGATGGTATTTAATAGAAAAAAATTAATTTGACATTGATCTATTTTGTTATTTTGCATATAGTAGGATTAACGCTTTGCGACCTTTCTGTAGTGTCATATAAATTATATTTAGAATTATTATTATTATTATTATTTTAATTTCAGGTCCGGCTATTCCGATGGATCCTACTGAAGCGGCTCAAGCGATATTTCCTTCGATGGCCAGGGCATTACAGAAATACCTGAGAATAACTAGGCAACAACCTCGCCACACCATGCAATCTATACTAGATCATCTAGCTCTATGTTTGAGTTACGATTTAAGTCCAAAAGCATTTTTGGAAAAGTATTTCGTCCCCAGTCCCGTATTGCAAAACGATCGAGAGCATAGACCCATACAAACGTGGGCTTTGGTGTGTGACATTCTCCTATCACGACCGGTGGAACCCGGTTGCGTTTTCATGTTGAGACAGAATGAGATATCCTTATTGGTGACTGTGCATTGCCTGCCGCATTTAAATATCACGGAGGAGATTATAGATCCAAAAAGTAACAAATTTGTGCTGAGGTTGAATTCCGAAACGTCCGTTTAACAATTTTTTTTCTTTTGTAGAAGTGTGGCCGCTTTGATGTAGCAGTTGATGTACGTGATGGTATTGGAGATACTCCGTTCTTGAGGTTCAGAGATTGCATGGCTGGACGAATCAAAAGTCATTAGTGAGAGCTTTTCGCAAATAAAAAAAAAAGTTTTCACCGACATCTCATCAAAGGATATATCTTGCACTCCTCAAATTTCTTTTAAAATAAAAGACTGCCTCTTATATTCACGCATTCTCTTGAAGATTTTCTCGTAATTTATCCATAAAATGTAACAAATATGAATACTGTGCATAGCTTCAGAGATCAAATTCGTTGATCTTCAAGCTTCTCTTTATCATTTGTGGATCTTCGTGTTATTTAAACTCTCTGTCTCTCTCTCTTTCTCTCTCTGTGATAATTTATTATAAATATATATATATAAATATAGCCTATATATTCTTTCTTGCACATCTTATCTGGGATCAAATGAAATGCATATTAATTATTTTGTGGTAACAGAGCATTGGATGTAAAAATCTATGCAGAATGTGTACGAGAATGTAGCATGTTTCGAAATGTTCTTTAATCTCGAGCAAAATATTTGTATTTTAAGTATTAGCGAAGAGAAAAAGTGATGATATTTTTGCACAATCGTTTCGCAATCTCATGCGAATTTTCGCTGCCAAAATCATTAAGGGTCCAGTTTTGATCAAAGTTGCGGCAAAACAAAGGGAGAAAAAAATGTAAATTTTTTGCATCAATAATATATCTGCTTACAATTTCTCATTAAAAACAAATTAATTTGTACAGATTTCGGCTCTACAAAACTGAAGAAGTAATACAAAATTACCCACGGATCTTTCCTGTTTCGTTTACAGTCTTCGTAGTGCCACCATGATTGATACTCTTGGATGTCTTTCCTATTTACTTTCGGATGCAGCGTTATTCAAGAGGATCACATCTCGTAAAACCGAAATATATAAAATGCCATTCCATTCTTATAAAAATGCCCAATTTTGATCTGCCCAAAATAAAAAAATATATATATATATCCCGTCAGGGTGTAGTGCAATTTTCATGTCCAGCGAAGGCTATGCATTTGATTATTGTAAACTGTTTGGTGAAAGCTGTTCATGTTTGCAACAGTATTTTAATGTGAAAACATCCTAGAGGGAAAATAGGTTCGTTTTAAATAAGTTTTAGGTGATTTCGTTCAGATAAATTGTGGTCGAAGTATACACAAAAGTGGCACATATCCTTATTGTACATATGTTTTATGTATTTTTGTCATGTCTGTGTTTGAATGTAAATATCTTATGTAATTTGTACTGATATATGAATGCAAACAAAATTGACAAATCGGCGTTTTAATAAATATTGGAGTAAAATTATCAATTTGTATTTTATTTTCTTTAATCATAATCAGACACAAAACGTACTAAACTTTAATTTTATAATATATACCTAAGGCCTTGTGTGGTTCTAAGCTATAACGTATAAGAGGCCATATGTTCAGGCTATATTTGGATTTATGGTTCTAAGGCCCTTCCCCTTCACAAAATAATAAGTTTAAAAGTCAAAGGCCTAAAGCCCCAATTTTAAACTTTAAAAATGAAGAAAAATGAGCAATTTAAAGTTATAAATACTTTGATTTTTTTTAAAAAAAAGGACAATTACAACGAACATTTACAAATTAAGTTACCTTATTATTCAATCGTTCGAAAATCTGGATCAAATTTTAATGAAAGCTAGCATCATTAATATTTTACAATTCATAAAATGAGAAATTTGTAATCACTTTTAGATAAAATTCACATAAAAGAATTTAATGAAAGCGTTAAATAGAAAGAGTAACGTGTAAGACCATTCGATAATGTTAGAAAAAAAAAAGAAATTAATAATTTGTGGGAAGCATAAACATTAAATTCGCGTAAGGCCAATCGATAATGACAATTTGTGGTAGTTTTCACCACCGAACCTTGGTTCTAGAATACGTCACGGCCTTATCTCGAATGTGCTCCTGAGGTGTCAGTATCGATTTCCTGAATACCATTATGGTTGGGGAGTAGATTTCCCTTCCATTATAACAACAGGCAGATAACTCGTGCACCATCCCCCCTAAAAAAAAAAAATAGAAAAAAGTAAATGTTTTCGATACAGGTGTAGCAATTTCTTTTACATCCCCCCCTCTATTAATCAAGAGTTCTCCACGATTCGATCTCGCCACGATAATTCTGGATGGCTTAATTCTACATCAAACCGATGATCGACACAAAGTAATCAGGTGTCGATCGATCAGCGATTACGTCGCGACGGATGAATAGTTTTAAAAAGAAAAAAAGACAGAGCTTATTCTTATTTTTAATACTGAATAATATTATTTTTACTCGTTATAAATGGATAACGAGTGAAATTTTACATGCAAATCACGATATCTCATTTATAGAAGGTTGCTTATTCATTTCTTTGACCTCATAAACATGCCACGCCCTTCCAAATAACAAATTTTGAATCTGTCAAGTGTCTGTACCGTGATTTTTTGATGCCGAAACGATTTCTTTGGTTAACAAATTGCGTTTACTTTAAGGATAAATTAGTAAATTAAAATTTTAAACCCACTCGTCCCTTCGATATGCTTACAAATAATCGATAAACGAGGATGATTCGTGTATGAATTTCGGATTATGTACTCGATTATTAAACATTCCCGTCCTCTCGACCGACTGACAATGTTTATTTTAAGGATGAAAATTGCCCGTTGATGGGTCACAATCTCTGTTTAGCATCTGCACTGTCTAGTGGGACCCCCTCAGTACTGTTTTGCTTTGTTAAACTCGTGATTCCGGCGTTGACAGGGAAATCCGTGACGTCTAAACACGTTTGCAGCATCTTTAAAAAAAAAAAAAAAAAAAGAGAGGAACTAGATGGCCCACGTGGCCGCAGGTGCATAGATAAAAAATATATAGGAAAAAGAAAAAAAAAAACACGAAACATTCCCCACCCGAAAAGCATAAACAGTGCATTCTTCCATTTTTCTTCTTAATTGATCCTTATCTGATGAAAGTAGAATGCACCAGATGTGCCGAGAAATGTCGAATGACAAGAGTAACGTATCGTATAATAATTTACGTGACGTTGTGTAACATTCGATTGGACACTTTGCTCAATTTCCGTAGAAAATTGACAGATTCCAGAGTATACATGCATGAAAACATACGAAGCTACGTCTTCTGTAATTCATTTTAAATACAAATTATGTTTGAAGTAACCGTAAACAGTGCTATTTACAGGAAAAAAAAAATTATACCCACTTTTTTAAACACTTCCTCAAGATATAATATTACAACAATTGTAAATAGTATTGTTTTATGTTTATTCCGAAGCGTAATATAGTAAAAATCCCGGTATAGCGACACTCTCTGGTAAAGAGGATAGGCTATTCCAATTACCCTTTTAGAATTTGTAGGTTACTATTTTGTATCGTAAACGACATTATTTATCACTAAATTTCAAGCTTAAACTTGTGTGTAGACCGCAGGTTTAAGTATTACTTGATGTACTGTACTTCAGTTTAGTGACACACTTGATTTAGTGCCAATTTCAGAGGCGAACAGATGGCGGCGTTAAATCAAAGTTCGATTGTAGATCCAAATAAAATTATTTAACCATTCATAAATAATTTCTTAGTCGATTAATACTTAAAAAATTTGCTGCAATTGTTAAAAAAGTACACATTATAATTGTCAAAAATCAAGATTTTCCTCAAAATTATTAATGAAATGTTACCCTTCAAACGGTCGAATTTAATTATATAGCAACTGTTGTGGAAATATCCCTTAAACAAAAGGATAATAAGCAATATTTAGTTAAATTTCCTCCCACTATAAAATAACAGACATAGAAGATGTATTGTTTTCATGCTTGTAATTTCCTTTTTATGCAGATTTATTCAGTGGATAGCGTAACTAAAAACGGGTCATTAAACTATTGTCGAAGGTACTTAATTGTAACTATAACTTTTTAAATAAAAAATTATAAAGTCGTCGTTACTGCTGTTATAAATTGTAAAAAATATTCGAAAGAAGTTAAATATACTGTATATTAATTAAATTGTCTGGGGATCTTCTATGCTATTAAACCCCTTGTTAAGGTATCTTCCACGATAGCTTAAGATTACGGAAGGTTTTATATTTCTGGGTTATAAAAACCTTCAGGCTCAATAAAAAGCACCTCAGGGTTATTGAAAGCTTCAGGCTCGATCAAAAGCACCTCAGGGTTATTGAAAGCTTCAGGCTCGATCAAAAGCACTTCAGGGTTATTGAAAGCTTCAGGCTCGATCAAAAGCACTTCAGGGTTATTGAAAGCTTCAGGCTCAATAAAAAGCACTTCAGGGTTATTGAAAATTTCAGGCTCAAACAAAAGCAGCTCCGGGTTATAGCAAATTTCTAGCAAAAATAAGAGCACTTTAGTGTTATAGAAAGCTTCAGGAACAAACAAAAGCACTCCAGGGTAACAGAAGTATAGAAGTACTCTCGACGATAGTTTAGGAGTACAAAAGTAATTGCTATAGGTTAATAGTTTGGAAGTATAGAATTACTTTGTGAGTATAGTACTACAGCAGTACTTCGACAATATATTTGGAGAGTATAATGGAAGGTTACAGTTTAAAATGTATACATTTGTTAACTATAACTTGATAAATAAATAAAAAAAAATTATACAGTTTCTGTTTTAATAATCGAAAAAAAAACTATACAGAAGTTAAATATATACTAGTAAAATTGACATTAGAAATAAAGAAAATGTAAAGGAACCTTCTATACTCCCCACATCGTTACACTTCTTTCAAAACAGTTTATACCAATAACCCAACGATAAGCTTGTTATTATAACTCACGACATTAATTTTCAACTGAAAACTATCGATTTTTTTTCGTTTCGTAGATCATTTTTTGATGATCGTAACGCATCCGAGACAATTTTATCATTATCTCGAGGAGCTGCTAGAGGAAAACGGAAAGTCAATCACTCGTAATTAGAATGATGTAAAACGATTTTCGTGACGAATAACCGGTCCATTCTTATGTTTCCCGAACTAATCTTCGAAATCTTCGAGCATCAACGATAACACAAAAACCTTTAGATACTATTTTACAGATAAAAACCTTCTCCGGATGATAGTATATTCTCTTCTCTACTCTTTTTTTTTCCTGCTTAATTCTACAAATAATAGTGGTTAAAATGGCTATTTTCTTTAGAAAAATGTGGATTTTTTTAATATTATCATTAAAATTAAGATTTATAATTCCTTTTAAAAAGAATTTTAAAAAAATATATTACAAAATGCATATTATTATGATGATGCTGATGGTTGATAATGTAAATAAAATGGAGTTTGGATGGAGAATGAAGCGTATACTTGACCATTTTACTGTAGAAAAATACTAGTTTATTGTATTAATAATGTTGTTTTAACTCCTCCGTAAAATATTATCGAAATTATATTTTAATTTTGAAATTTATGAGCATAACATGAGACGTTAATTACTATATCTTCGGATTAAAGTAACAAATAATGTAGTTAGATCAATAGCATGAATTATAAATGTTAGCCTATTTAGTTAACTGTAAATCGATATAGAATTTAATTGAAACATGAAATTTATATTGAAAATTAATTTTAAAAAATTAAATATTATGTTGTTGAAAGAATTGGAAATGATATAAACTCAATAGAAGAAAAATAATTGAGGAAAGATCACTTGAAGTATAAAATTAGGCCATGAAAAACCCTATTAATATCTGATTTTCTGTCTTATAATTATGTACATTTAATTAAACTTATATAACTTTATATTTTAAAATAATTTATTAAAGGAAATCACTTGATTTTATAGGGTATTCATGAACATTCATGAAAAAAATCATGACCATTCAATGATTCATGAAGAAATCACTTGATTTCAATAAGTATTCATGAACAAAGTAATCTAATTAATGACTTATTATTAAATAATGATGATAAATTTGATTATAGTTAATTATCATTAGATGGCTAATAATTAATATCATTATCTTCAGTCATTTTGGCAGCCCTTCTGACCAAAATTTTCAAAGATATTTAATTGGATTGATGGGATAAGGCAACGCAACACAAGGGCAATCTGACTCAGAGGAGGACTTTCTATAAGAACATGGCTCCTATTTAGGTGTTATGCACGTGAAGAAACCCGGAAAACTTCGCGTGATCAGTCTGTCGATCAGGCGCAAACCCGCAACCAATTGTTCAATGGTTTTATCCACATGGCCGCCGGCGAGCCAAAGATATTTTTATAAAATATTGCGTAAAATAACCGCTAAATTCCCAAATCGATACAATTTTTTAAATTATTATTATTATTTTTAAACATTTTTTTAAAATATATAAATATTAAAGAAAAAAAAAGAAATATATTTTAATATTTTCGTTATAACTTTTGAACGGTTAATTCGATTTTAAATCCAATTATTCCGTTGGATTCGGCATTAAAATCCTCTTTTAAAACGACGTATCACAAGCTATGGCTTACCATTTGAAATTTTAAAAATGCAATCGTTTTAACCTTTAAATGTCAAAGGTCAAAATGCTAAATTAACATAAAAAGTTTTCATTACTAGGAATATACAAGCAACAGATTGCCTTTGTGAGGAAGTTATTGATTTGTTTTTCAAATTTTCTTTACTTATATATATAATAAATAATACATAAATTGAAAATTCGCACACGAAAGAAAATTATTTAATAATAATAATTTGCTTTGTTTTGCAACGAAGAGAAATTATTTGATATTTTATACAGGATCTATCAATAAATAGAAATTTTATTTATCACGTTATATTTGATGCCTCCTGAGTGCCCAAATCCCTTACAATTTGATGGAATAGACGCTTTTATCTGGGTTGTGAGTGATGCAACTTTCCAATGATTCATACCTTTTGGGAAGAACGGTTAGTCCTCGATTCAGGTAGACGTTCGGGGAATAAACGTGTACAGTAGTTTATCAACATAAACTCTTCCATTTTGTTTGCTTAAATTAATTTATTGATATTATCTTCGAAAGTGGGAATATTTTAAGCCGATTTTGCCTCAATAATTATCTTTCTGCAATTATAGTACCCACGTGGAACACATTTGTTAAATTTTTTTTGAACTGACCAATCATTAATAAGTATACTTCTTATTAATATTAAATTACAAAAAATTTTCTGTGGCGCCATCTTTTATCGCTTAAAAAAATATTGAATAATCAGAAAATAATTTCAATAATTTAATTATTCTTTAATTTCGTTTCTTTAAATTAAAAAAAAAATATATATATATATATAAATCTCCNTATGTGTATCTAAATATATATATATAAGTATTTTTTAATTTAAAGTAACCTTTAATAATAATATTATTGTAAGATTGAGATTTATAGAGTAAGGTACCAACCGCCATCTGGAGGAATTATTACTAAATTTCGAAAACATGCCTCGGTAAAAATTTTTCTTCCATTAGTTTCGGCATATCTGGTGTCAATAATAAAGTATTATTTAATATTTGTAATATAATAAAAATACCAGAGTATAATAGTACATTTTTTTTAGGTGTCAAGCAAATTTTCCTACATACCACTTTGATAATACATATTACAGATTCGTCACGTTTGCGGGAGATGATGCATGTTTATGGTACTTAATAATTTTCTTGCCACCTACGGATTTACATTTTCTTCAATTAATGATTAATGATATTTCCTTCCTAATTATTAGTGATATTTTTTAGAATTAGAATTTTCAAAAATAGTTCGTGACACGATCGAGATGTCCGAATCCTAGTACCATCGATGGAACCACAAAAACCATTCCGTCATCGTCATCGTCATCCACATCGCATTCCGTCATAAGTGTTTTTTTTTTTTTTAAATAACATTACAGTATTATAAATAATGTAGTATTAAAATTTTATTCTATTTTTGAGGGTCAAACCAGGAGAAATCCCTCAAAAATATGCTCATTCTGAGCCATGTATTGANTCATCGTCATCCACATCGCATTCCGTCATAAGTGTTTTTTTTTTTTTTTAAATAACATTACAGTATTATAAATAATGTAGTATTAAAATTTTATTCTATTTTTGAGGGTCAAACCAGGAGAAATCCCTCAAAAATATGCTCATTCTGAGCCATGTATTGAGAGAACAATCTCACATAATAGATCCGTGGTTCTCAATCCGTGTTCCGCGGAACACGGGTACTCAGTGAAGCCACTAAGTGTTCTGCGAAAAAATCAAATATACAATTAAAAATTGTTGCAAAAGAAACATCAATAAAATAATTTTTGAATGGGAATCAAACGCCAATGACGTTATAAACTAGACCGGGTGCGCTCTTGATTTCAAAAAGGTTTCCCACCCCTGCTTTAAAGTTGATGCATTGTAAGTGTTCCATGGAAAAAAATGTCAAAGTTTAGTGTTCCCGGACTTCAAAAAGATTGAGAACCACAGGTGTAGACCACCTTTTTATTTTTGACACTCTCCGCCTAAAAAACACTAAGAGGGTTTTTCAGGATCCATCGGTAAACAAGTAGATAAAACTATTGAACACTGATCGCTGGTTCTTGTCCGACCAATCAGCTGATCACTTGCAGTTTTCTGGGTTTCCTTCGCCTAAATAGAGGCCATTTTCATAATGAAAGTCCTTTGGGGAGACACATTCTTGCTAGATCACCCTTGTGTTGCATTGTCTTATTTCATGAATCCAATCAACTTCTTTTTTTCCAGGCCCACAATAGGGTTGGCTGGCTGGTGAGGAACAGAGCCCAATATATTTAGGATAGAGCATAAATCCTCGAAAAATTCTTGGGATTTTTCTCCCATCCAGATTTGATCCGGAGTGATAGACTGACATCTTGATTCGTACTTATTGGTGATATTATGTATACTCCCAACAAAATTACAAAACCGTTCCATTCTACGGCAGAGTTAAAAAATCCACCACAAATGTCAATACCATATGTAGACAAAGTCATACCTGACGATGTTGCAACCACTCTACTGCAACAGACAAGAAAACTCATCTAATGTCTTAAAGCCAATTCACACACGAGCAACAAAATTAAGATGGCAATCAACATCACTGACTGATTTCACCAATTCTCTCTTTGCCCTTGATCTACCAATCTCTGCAGGTGCCAGTTAACTGCATCTACTTATTACAAAACTAAATGGATTGTGCCCACTTCCAATGTTAGCCTACCTTTGGGTTACATTTAGCATGTTGAAAAGGCCAAACCACAGAATAGGCAATTCTAAAATGGATCGATTGCAAATGCTGTTAGTATAAACAATATTCTCCCAGATAAATTATTATGATTTGTGCAGCGTTGAATTATAGTGGCCTCTGTCCACATATCTGCAAGAACATGACATGACTTTGAGGCTAATTTGGTGGAACATGTACCGTGTGCAATATCCTCTGTCTTCAAATAATCTACTAGAGAGTGTAGTCCCAATGTACAGAAATTTGGATATGTTAAGACCTAATTTTAAAGGTATTCTATATACTCTTGAACACTCCTGTATGGAATAAGGAACCCTATCGTTACCCAATAGTCTCCTCTGGGATAAGATATAGCCGTACTTCCTGAACAATGTGCAAGACGTAATGAAACTGTGTTCAGATATGGAATAGTTATGCTGGTTATTCATGTCATCCTTTGTAAACATGACTGAAACTGGAAATAAAGATCTTAAGACTTTAGAATTAAAATGTATGAATTTAATATTAATGAACCCTGTCATTAAGACATCATCAAGTGCAAATTTTAGCTCATTCTCAACCAGGTACTGTATTGAATCTGGATGAGGAAAAACTGGTGAGCATGATATGGTTGGAAGGAATCTGCAGGAGTGATAATAGGATGAAGATGAAACTTGATGATAAACATTGAAGAGGAGGCTGTTGGATGTTCTTTGTATGCACAAATCTAAAAATGCTAAACAGTAGATCCATCTCCTCTTGTTATGAATTTATGGTAAAATATAAGTTTAATTCAACTTTTTATATATCCTTTGTTATGTAATTCTAATTTCTGTATGTTATATTTGAATCAAGTTTCAATTCAAATATAAATTTCCATCTTTTATATAGGATATGTTTAAATTTTGTAAATTGTTCTGTTTTGTCTCTAAAAAAAATTGTTCCGGGTCTCATTCAGAATTCTTTCGCCTGAGGACTAATATGTTGTTGAGTGCCAATGTTTAAGAATTTAATAAAATTCTTTCAAATTAGCTTGGTAATACTGTTTATTTTTACTAAATAAACTTGGCAATCAAGTGCACATATTGTATCTTTTCAAGAAAATTCATTCATTCAGCCTATTTAGTTTCAGTAAACGGTTCTCATTTGATTTCAATTCATATGGCTATGACTATGATTTCAATTATGACTATGGAATTTCATAACATGATTTATTCTCAGCTATTTAAAGCACACTTTATTGATTCAGAAAATAATTTCATTGTTCTTATCACAATTAATTTAGCCAAGATGTTTCTTTGATTTTTAATTATTAAATTTAAATAACTAAGAAATTTTTGAATAATTTATGCCTTAATCCATATTGCACCCATTGATAAATTATGTGTATCTAAACAATATTCAAACTCAGTTCCCTCACACTGGTAGGATAACACCTTATTTCATGGAAAAATTATATTGTTATTGTATAAATATTATAAATAAAACAATCACTCAATATTATTATTTTAATATATATTTTAATTATAATGAAAAAATGTTTACAATACTGTAGTAATAATTATTCAAATATTTATTTTTCAAATTACAATATGCATTTTAGGTAATAAAAATATTATTTACACATGTAAAATATGCATTTCTTATATGCTTATTTACAATGGAATAAGTTATGAATTTAATCTTCATTAGAAGAAAAACTTTCTAATATAAAAGAATTACTATCAACTAAGCCTATTGTAATGTCTTTGGATAGGTAAGAATTTTAATCAACAATTCCTTCTCCAAAAATAGTATCAATAGAAGATTGTCATTTGATTAACAATCTGTCTAGGTCTATGTAATGAATAAAAATATTTTTCAAATAATTTGAAATATAGTTAGTTAATTCTTTGCTTTATTCCTTTCTAAACCAGAAAACTAACAATAAACAAATTCATATTCTAACAAAATGAATATTGATAAATACTTTGAAACACATCAAACCTTTTATACTTATTTTTAGGTCTGAAATCAATTGTTGTTGCCTTTACATATGAAATTCAAGCATTTAATTAATATTAAAAACAGTAAAATAATTTATATGCATACTTCAATTAACTTCTTTATAATTCAGAAATTGATAAACCTAAAAAGAAAACTTTTCATTTTTAAGTGTTCAAAACTTAATTGATTCATATTCAATATATATTGACTAACCTGCACAAAATAAGCCATATTAAATCCTTTATTTTTCAGATGTTTCAATTCATCCTGAATATCTTCAATTGAAACAATTTTCAGAAATTTCTGATAAATGGAATAAATAAAACAAAATAAATTTCTAATAATAAACTCATTGTTAATAATTTAAATTTTCCCAAACATTTACCTTAATTTCTTTTGCTTTATAACCTTTTTCAAATAACAAGACTGCAAGAGCAGGAACAACTAATTTATGCAGACGAAATTCTTCAGATAATGCTTCCAAATCTATGGCAGATATGCAAGGACATCTACAAAATAATATGAAAAGTTATAAAATATTAATATATAATCAATTTATATTTAAGTTTAAGTTTTCATACCTAAGTATCATTGTGAAAACATCAAGCAGTTTGTCTTCATTCTCTCTGTTAAAATTATCTATAAACAATAATTTATGTTCATCATGTAGAAAAAAGTTTTAAAAATTAAACAGAATTTTAACTTTAAAAATTTTTTTGGTTTTCTTCATTAAAATAAATTAATGCTTTCTTTAAACAAAAATGATTTATTTATTAATAAATCACTTTTTCAAATTAAAACTTTACTCAAAAACTTTAAGGTAGATTTTATAAAATGCCATTACTTACCATACTTGAACTGATAGAATATTAAATATTTCCATGCTTCAATATAATCTTCATTATACCATAAATGTGCAACGTTACCCAAAAGTCTCAATAACTTTCTTAATTCTTCATACTATGAAAAGTCAAAAATGAATTTAACTTGTCATAAATATGGTTAGTCTTTTTCAATCAAGACCAATTAAATAAATCCCAAATGATCTATTTACTTGATATAATATAGTATTTATTGATTAATATTAACTATTAAATTTTATTTTTATTACATATTTAATATGATAAATTCTACTTAATACACTTAAAATTATTGTCATAAGAGATGTACACATTTCTGTTATTTTTCAAAATATATTTTTCACCATTGACTTCCACATCTTTTTGACAATGTCACCAGTTTCCTTATTTTATTGTCAAAGATGCTCCCAATTCAGTAATATTGCTTTTCAGTTCATTGCCATTTTCAAGCTGTTTTGATAAAACTCAATTTTTTAAATGCAAAAAACAGGTGATAGCTGCTTGATACAGGATCGCGGCTATAAGGCAGGAAGACAAAACTTCTCCAGCAAAATTGTTGCAACATTTGAACAGTTTGAGATGAAGTGTGAGGTTGAGCATCAATTCCTGATCACTTGCCTTATAACACCAATTTTGCATCAAGTGAATATCATTTGTTTTTGCATTTCACAAAATGGTTTTCATCAGAGTGGTTTGAAAATGACAATGAACAGAAAATGGAGTTACTGGAAGGTTCAAGATATTGACAAACTTTTTTGATAATGCAATACGGAAACTGATGACATGATATCAAAAATTCATGGAAGCCAATGATGACAAATAACAGAAATCTGTACATAATAAATTGTTTTATGTTTTCTGTTTCTTATTTGAAAATGGGCCTTACTTTAAAAAAACACACCTCATATTTCAATAAATAGTGATACTAATACAATAATTATGATTTAAGAATAAAAAATATTGATATTTAAAAGAATATATTCATGATATTTAAAATTAATTCCACAATAAAATATTTAAATTTTAAAAAATAAATTTAATAATAAAAATAGGAACTTTTTCTAAAAACTATACATTTTTTATGTAATGATAATATTCTGCAGTTAACACACATGAAATTAGTTACTTGATATATGCATATGACAGTGCAATTATTTCAGTAAACAAACTGAATTTGCAGTGAAAACAAACATGTTTTATAAATATTGTATCAATAAAGGATTAAAGATTAATATTGATAAATCTAAAATAGTTATACAGTATTTAAAAGAAGAGGATTGTTACAAAAGCAAAATAAATGATTTATAAGTAATCAAAAAATTAGTACAGTGGAACCTCAGTTAATGAATGCCCTGGTTAACGACCAAATCAGTTAACAAACTTATTTTTCAAAAGTTTTGTCTCAGATAATGAACATAATGGTTTTTTGTGTGAAATTTTAGTTGCAGTTGGACATGTGTGAATTAAGCATTGCTTTTCTGAGTGTGCTAAACTTCTTTTTTCAGTTTTGTGATTTATATATTTAACCAATATTGCACCCAAGAAAGAGAAAAGTGATAGTGACAATAGAAAATGATAATGCATATGAACGACAATGTACTATTGCATTTGAGAAAAATTTTGATTAAAAGAGTAAGACAATCAACTTTAGATCAATTTCTTGTTCCTTACCAAAAGAGACCTCGACTGGAAGAATCTCCCAATGAAGTGCTATCCATTATTTTTTTTGGAGGTTATTCCCCTTCTAAGCATTAAGTTCTGTAAATCTCCACTCCTCTGCCACCAACTATAGTACAACAAATGAAGATATGTACAGTGTTATTTATTAAATAAAGTTTACATGTTTGTTGCTGTAATGATAGTACATTTTCATCAAAGAAAAACCCATTTTACAAATAAAATTACAAAAATTTTGGAGGATAGAATGGATAAATTGTATTTGCATTAACTTCTATGGGAAAAATTGCTTCGGTTAATGAACAGAGTCATGGAACAAATTAAGTTCTTTAACTGAGGTTCCACTGTATTTTTACTGGAACTGAAAATCTTGGTATTGCTTTTTCTAAAGATGCCTCCTTTGATACACATTTTGATATAATTAGAAAAAAAAAACATAAGTTATCAAACTTTTGAAATCTGATTTTTCCAATTTTAACTTAATATATACAGACTTTATTTATTTGAAAGTATATATTTAAGTACAGTTCATAAGATATTTATTTAAACTACATTAGTCTGTTTCAGAATGTACAATTATATTATAATTGAGAACTGAAGTTCTTTTTTGAGTCACAAACATCTATTTAAACTGATCAGAATCTTTAAATTTTTTTTAAATATAAACTTACCAATTCAAAATAAACCTGAAAGTAAAAGATGATGTAAAAACTACACATTACTCAATATTACTCTGTTGGATTCAATATTTCCCTTGTTTCAGAATCAGTACATTAATATTCCACACTAAATTTATTCAAGAATGGTAATTATGATATTATTGGGAAAGTGATAAGAATCAAAATTCATTCATTCATAATATAATTTATTGACAGTTATTTTTTAAATATAATTTTGTCTTACAAAGTTATTTCTATAATTTTTGCAATAAATATTAAGTTGCTTATTTTTTCCAGAAGTAAGGAAGAATGATTTTTATAAGAGTCCTATAACAAGCATTCCTAGAATGGGACATCAAGTTCTCACTTGGTACATACTTAGCACGCTTTCTGAAAACAAGAATGGAAGAACACAGAGGATGCAAGAAGAGGGGGAAAATTAAAACATTAGCAGAGTACATACTCTCAGGTAAGCAGGTTATACTCAAATGGCAAGAGGCCAAGATTATACTTTGAGAAAGACAACATACAGACAAGAACAGTGGAGGAATTGATGATTGCTACCACCACTCAACCAATTTTGAATATTTGATCTCAATGCAATGACCTGAACTCTTGGGTCTGGTTATTATCCAACATAAAAAGCCATAAGAAATTACCAAAAACTCAAACTTTTCCATTGGCCATGGTTTGATTTTATACTGCTTTGTGGTTCTTAGTACATGGTATAACAAAAAGTTTTAGAACATTATCTGAATTCTTTTAAAACATTCATTTTAATCTTGGAAAGGAGAAATTTGATAGTAACATTTTTAGAACACTAGTTACAATGTAACTTTAATTCTATAAGTAACTACATTTGATAATGACAAAGATGTTTAAAAGTCTCAAAAAAATTTTCATCTAACCTTTATTACTAACTACTCTCCTTTATTAAAATAGCAGTTTGTATGTTTAAATAATATTAAATATAGTCTATTTGAGATATAAAAATTAATTTTGTTTAGAAGATGAGCCTATCTTTTGATTAAACTTCATTGCTTTTCAATATCCCATTTGATCCTTCTATTTGTATACAGTTGTACCTTGGTATACGTCTGCTTTAGAATACGTCCAATTTGGAATACGTCCTGTTTGGACGAAACAAATTTTGCTCGGTATACAACTTTTGTTCGGTATACGACTTAATTCAATTATACGCGCCATCAATGAACAAGTAGCACTATTGGTGTACTAGACCAGACTAGACAATCGCGGTGCAACGGTTTATAACTTTGTTAAATTTCTTCTGATTTTAATTTGTAAGTAAAATTTTATTATTTTTATTAATCATGAATTGTAAAAAGGCAAGTGAAAAGCAAGTGAAAACTAAAAAAATGACTAGAATCACAATGGAACTGAAAAAAGAGATTGTTCAGGAATATGAAGGTGGTACACATGTTCGAGATTTAACCGTTGCCTACCGTATTCCGAGAACGACAATATCGACAATCGCGAAAAATAAAGACATTATTAAATCTGCTAACGTTGTGAAAGGAGTTAAATCAATTTCTAAACAGAGATCAAAGATCATGTCGAGAAATTGCTTTTGCTTTGGATAACTGAAAAACAGTGCTGGAGACAGCGTATCGGAAGCAATTATTTGCGAGAAAGTTAAAAAGATACATGCTGATCTCACGAAAAATCAAGCAGGAACTAGCCAGGAAAGCGAGGTGTTTAAAGCCAACCATTTTTTTTTACATGAAAATGGATTAATCATTTTTACATTACTTCTTATGGGAAAGGTTGGTTTGGTATACGTCCAATTCGATATAAGTCCAAACATCGGGAACGGATTAAGGTCGTATACTGAGGTTCCACTGTACAGTCGACCCCCCTATAACGTACGTTCCTATAACGACAATTCCTATAACATAGCGAAAAAATTGTAGAAACTTTCGTATAATGTACCTCCTACAACATCGTTTCGCGAGAAGATTGATAGAGTCTGGACCAATAGTGGATGAGCAGCCAAACTACTTACCTCCGACCCTGCGCCACGCTACGGAGCGGCTAAATTGAGTTTGCTATCGTCTGTTTAGTATTATATATAAATTAGGTACTGTACATATAATTATATATTAACTTAATTTATTGTAACTTTATTATAATTATATATATGCTTTCTGCCGCCTGGCAACACACTACGGAAATTTTAGGCTAGTAAGTTGAGTTTATTATCGTCTGCACAGTATGTAAATTAGGTACCATAAGTCTAATACAGCACTAATTTTATACATTTCTTGTGAAAGAAACACTTCTTATTCAACGGCCATAAAAATTATTTATATTAATGATGTCTCCAAAGGTCAAGTTATCTTTCTGCGATAAATTATTTATCAGATATCGCGGCCGCCGTTTCGTGTGCTGTTCCGCGACGAAGACAAGCTTTGAACAACGGGCGTAGTCGAACGGTACACACTCCGTAAGTAATCCTATAATTTTTTGTTTATAGCATAGTTTATACAGATTATTCCCAAAAAATTATACGTATTTTGGAAATGTTGAGTGGAATTAGTCTAGAATCGGTTAATTTTATAGAAGAAAATCTTTCGAACAGCCTTAATCCGTAAAGTTCCCACCTATCGGGCTGCGATTGGCTCATGTATTTAATCGTTCCTACAACGTAATTTTCGGTTAGCGTGGAACGTATCTAAGCGTTATAGGGGGGTCTACTGTATTTTGATAAATGTAAGAGAATATGTGAATATAAACAGACCTAATTGTGATAACAATTTTAAAATTTATCATCTACAAATGTTACCTAAACCAAAAATTGATTTCTTTAACATTTTGTAATAAAAAAAATATTTTTATGTTATTGTAAGTTGTACCATAATATGCTGTTTTTTAAAATAATTATTATCCCATATCCACAGATAAAAAAGGAAATCCCTGATTGTCCAATAAAGTTGTATTAAATTATTCTTTATTTAAATTCTTCTGTAACAAAATTTTTCAGTTCTGCTTTTTGTACAGTCTTTTGAAAATAGCTTAAAAGAAAATATCATGCTTTTACATCCTAATAATGATATAAATATTATGTATGTTCTTATTTTGTTTTTTAAAGAATTCCTTTATACATTTATTTCACAAATCCTATATACATTTCATAAATATTCAGGATCTATACTTACCATGTTACTCTCTCTCATATTCCTCAAGATAGCAGACCATAGCTGTTTGTTCCAAAGTTTATATTCCAAACATAATGAAGATGCAAACTGTAAAGCCTTTGTGAAAAAGATTATATTAAAAATTATTTTATTTTATCTAAATTTAAACTTAAATGTATTAAAATTATTTCTATATTGATACTACACAGTTAATTTAAAAACAATTCTCAAATATGTTTCTGATAATATGGAATATATGACAATAAAAGTAAATACCTTTGATGAATATCCACTAAAAGTAAGAATTGCCTCTACTAGTTCAACTTTATCCATTTTTTCAAAGCTATCTGCAGTATAAGGAATATGCAAATTTTCCAACTCTGCCAGACAATATAAAACTTTCAGTAATTTCCATAAATCCTCACTTTTGTAACCACTCATTTTTGCTATTGTGTTTGTATCAACGATAGAGAATAAACAGCGAAGTGCACGTGCACGATAACTGTTATTAGATAATGTGACCTAAATACAAAACATTTTAAATAAAATTATATATAATTTTATTATACTAAAATTATTACTTACTTTCAATCCTATGGTTAACAGATGAATAGTATTATCTTCTATATTTCCTTGATGAAGCAAATGTATTACCCTTAAAAAAATAAAAAAATGTGTATTTCAAAACTTAATTAAAATTACAGTCAATAATAAGTAATGATATTTACTTTAGTAAATTGATTTCATCTTTATCTTCATCATCACAAAAATCAAGAATATCAAATGAAAAACTCTGAAATGACATCCATATTGCTTATATTAATAACAATAAATTATATATTTATTAAAACAAAAAATTACCAACCTCATCAGCTGACTGAGAACCAAATGTAGTTGGGATGAGAAATCTATTCATTAAATCTGAATATATTGATGATAAGTCACATTTATTCAATTCTGCAATTTTCTTACTTGCTTGATGTATTACTAAAATAATTTTAAAATGCTTCAGACATGTATTAATTTACATAAAATCAAATAAATAGCTAAATATTCATTTTTAAGCACTGTATATTATATTTGCACTTTGAAAATAATTTGTGATGAAATAATCACAAATTATTTCTATTATGCTACAATACATAGCCAAAGAATTTTTCATTTATTAATATACTGTATATATCTTACAAAAATTCTAAGAAATTTTATTTATTTTAATTTTAATTTTTGGTTATACAGTAATGTTCCTTTCAAACGTGTGTGTAAGAAATTGGACTTCAATGTAAACGATTTAACATCATAACATCAACTTTTAGACCTGGGAATAAATCATTTGTTAAGTTCTCAGCAGTAAAAGCAACGCTTTCTCATAACCCCCCGACCTATTATCTCAATTTCTCCAAGTCAATATAGCCAGAAACTGCAAGTTTAGGCAGTTGTCGCCAGTCCCTCAATGGAATATCATCCCTTATCTAGTGCCTAATTTAGTGCCAATAGATATACGTAATTCTTGCGGATACCTCAGTTCAATGAATACTTCCTCATCTACGGGTACACATTTTGAAGACAAACTTGTCTCAGGGGACAAAGATACATTGCTACATGATCTAGAATGAGCATTAGACTATTTTCAAACATCATCACCCCAAGGTATTTATTGCTACATGAATCTCATGTAAACTCTCTCTTGCACAACCACTTTCATTTAAAGATCCCTTGAAGTTAAGGCCTAATAAATTGTAAATTGTATCATGTTGTCGATGTAATTTAATCATTATTAGTTGTTAACTGGTACACGAGTGATTTACTTCTGGTATGTTGTCTCTCAACCCATCTCCATCCTGGATCCGATGCATGAAGCTGCTCGCGGGACTGAATCAACATGACGTCTTGACTTCCATGTCAATTGGGACATGGTGGTATCAGTCCTGAAGAGGAACTAAAGGGGTGCCGACCCCCCTGGTCACATATGATTACTGCTCCCATTACAACAAACCACTTTAAAAAAAAATATTGAAAACATACATTTATGTATGTAAGCTTATCATTTTTAGTGTTTTTTTTACAATGTATTATAAATGAATCAAGTAAAAATATATCAACAAAAAATTTAATATTTTAGCAGATAATTCAGAAAAGAAAATCAATTGATCTGTTTATACAAGTGATTTATATAAATATTAGAAATTAATTTTAAACATTTCTGTTTTGTAAAGTATTTCTTTAAATATTTTATTCTGTAATATTTACTTGATATTTTGTTTAAAATTCCAAAGCTTATAAATAATTTGTAATTAAAAAAACAAATAATTTAAACTTCAGGAGAAATATATTATTTAATAGAGAAAAATTACTTTTTTAGGATATACAGTAGAGAATCTGTTTATTGCAATCACTGAGATTTACCTAAAATAATAACAACAACTGAAAGTTAACATTAAACACTAAAATTAAAATTCAACACCAATTAGTGGAAATTCTGGCTATATTGACTACTACTAAAAAAAGATGTTGAAACAATTATAAATAAATGCAATTTTTATAATATGTTTTAATTTATGTTTTGGAACTTGTTATCAATAATTCTGATGATAATATCCATAATTACAATAAATCTTAATGCTTTTGTGCAGGGGCAGATCTAGGTTTTTCAGGGCCTAGGGCTTATTGAAGTCCAATGAAACCTCATTTTTTGTTAATACCAAATAATAATAATAATACAGTATAATAATAATAATGATGATAATTTATAGTATTAACTATTTTTTACTATACAATAAGTGCTCATTGTTAATGAAAAAAGTATTAATTTATGATGATAAATCAATTTTTGTGGGCCCTTGACAATTGGTGCCCAGGGCTTAATCCCTATTAGTCCTATGTAGATCCACCTCTGCTTTTGTGAATTCATTACATTAGAACAATTTCTGCTGTTTTATTTATAAAAATATGTATTAAAAAAATCATATCTTCAAACTTGATAAAGTCTAATTGAATAATTTTATATTTAACTCACTGTATAAATTAAAAATAATCTTTTTCATATAAGCTTATTCTTTATGAAAAAAAATAAATAAATAAAAGAACAGTTAAGTTTCCATTTTACAAAGGTAATATCAAGTTTATTTTGTTTTAATTTGAAATGTTTAAGGAGAACATTGGTGAGTTTATCAATTTTAATGTTTTTGAATAAAAATGAGGAAAAAATGTTTTAAAATTCAGAATTCTTAAAAACAATTTGTAAATAATTATAAAAATTTGACTGAAAATTTTAATCATCGTTGATAAACCTATTCTATTAAAAAACAATCATAATCATTATATTTACACAAAGATGCAAATAATACAATTTAGAAGTGGATTTAAATGATCTGTGACAAGAATACACTATTATCTAGCCCGAAGTGAGAAACCTAATTTAATAGGAAGCCATATCCAACTTCAGAGGAAACTTATAAGGCTACTGTTGTTTTGAAGATTGTATAAGAATAAACAGTCAGAATATATATATTGCAGTACTGCAGTACAATTTTAATCTTCAGTTAAAATTGTACTGTATATCTAAATATAATTTGTCAGTAAATGTTTTTAATAAAGACAACATATTTTTATAAGTCAAAAATCAGAACAGTAAAATTCAATTTAACAATATTCTGTAACAATGAAGAAAATAAGATTGCTTCTTTGTGAAAATTGAGTTTAAAAATGCACTGAGAAAAAAAAATGCATTCACCTTTGCTTTTATTATTAAATGCATTATGATTTTCAATATCTTCCCACATAGTAGTTATCAACTCAGTTGGTTTGCTTGACAAGGTTGCATATTCTGTTTTACTGAGACCATATGTATGAAGTATATCTTCCATTGCTAATTTATGATAAATAATGTTTAATTTATGAATGGGTGACTTCAGCAGACATTTATCTTTACAACTTTCCATCCAATTTTCAGCATATTTAATAAATAATTTAGCTGCTGATATTCTTGTTTGCCCTAGAGAATGAAACAAATTAAACATTTTTCAGATTTTTAAATACAAAAAATACAAAATTAAAATGCTATGCTGTTTACCTGCAGGTAACGTTTTTATTATCCAATTAAAACAAGCAATTGCTTTATCCAAATTGTCAATCTGATTTAAAATTTCCATATCTGATAAAAATTTGTAGTCAGGTGGTCTATGATTCCACTTTGTAATAAGAACATTTTCATGGTTCTTACTCCAAGTACTAACTGTTTTCTGTAGAGCTACAACTATTATATCATCTTTAGGAACCTGTAATAGATTCAAAAATTAAAAAATCCATGTAATTTCAGTTTTGTTAAACATGCTTCTTGCCGTCTATTGAAAACTGTGAAATCTGACCTGTATCAATGAACTGACACTTAACCACATATTAACGGTAGCAATGGATAATTCATTATCTAAAAATGTTCATAAAAATGTTTACATCAATTCAATTGTAAAGAAATGTATAATCTATGAAAATTACCTATTACCTATAATATTCCAAGCCTTCTCTGGCGTCATCAAAGGATGATATGGTAATCTCTTTTTAGCAATTTCTGGCAGTTTATCACACTATGAAATACAAATGTTTATGTATAATTATCATTAACAGATAATTAAAAATTTCATGTATAAATCATTACCTGAGGATGTAATGATAACCATAAATTGGTTTCATATTCAGTGGCTTTACTTATTCTGTGATAAGATTGCAAAAAATTTAAAACTTCAATATCCTGAAAGATTTCAAAATTAAAAATTAAGAGGGAGAAAAACAAAACAAAAAATTTACAAAAACATTAATTATCCAAATAATTATGATAAAATGGAAAAATCAATCTACTAAATTAGAAACAGTAATATTTAAATTTAAAAGTATTAGTTGTTCTTCAGTCCAAAGTAGCTTAATAACTATTTTAATTCTTAGCTTATTATAATCTTGCAATAATTCAGGTATATGTCATAATTCCTTATTATCTTAAATATATCAAGAATAAATTTGTTAGAAGCAAGCTTCAAAAAATTGTTTCAAAAATTTTTATTGAAAATTTAAAAACTGAATTCTATGAATTGTTATGTTTATTTTAATTTAATTAATAAGACAATTCTATTATAAGTATGGTTTTTAAATATAATAAAAACTATTGCACAATCAAAAGAAAAGAAAAAAATTGCATATAGACAATTTCAAAAACCATTTTTCAGATTCTCCTGAACAAAAAACACCATACAAGAATAACCTATAGCAGTGGTTCCCAACCTTTTTTCATTAGCGTACCCCGTGACATGTCATATCTCTAGATTGTACCCCTCATTTAAGAAATTTAGTGAGTAACCGTATTGTTAATTTTACATATTGTAACTTTAAATTAAAGAAAAAAAACCTAAAAGAAAAAATGTATAATAATAAAGTTGTGATTGTTGCAAGGAACATTTTTTATCTAATAATTTTTTAATACTATTAGTTTGTGATGCATAATATATTATTTTTTCTGCCATAATAACTAACTTTTTTCTGTACCCCTAAACAACCTATCGCGTACCCCTAGGGGTACGCGTACCACAGGTTGGGAATCGCTGACCTATAGTAACACTTCTACAAAACACAACAAATTAAAAAGATAAAATAATATATCATCTATTGTATAAACTTTTGAGGTGTTTAACATATACATTCAGCTATATTTTGAATTTCTAAATTTAGTTTATTTAAAAGTTCTATAGATTTCTATAAACCTGTAAAAGAAAGACTTTGACCAACTGCTGTTCTATACTTATGAAGTATCTAGAATAAATCATCTTATTATCATAATTATTAGAATAAGATTTTGTATTTGTAATTTCACTACTTTCAAAAGAAAATAAACAATAATTTAATGATGAACACATTAAATATATAAAATTTTCATTAATAAAATAATACTTACATCAACAATATTACACTTTATAATGCCTTCATGAACATTGGAGAGATTACAAATATTATTTTTCAAAAATAATAGAACTTCATAACAATAAAAATCTACCTGTAAAATAAATTTAACTTTGAAATGTATCAATTAGTCATTTAATAAACTGAAAATTTTTTTTTTGTTAGATATATACAGAAAAAAAATATTAACATTTTTACAGTGAAACTGAAAATACTAAATTAATTTTTGATAAACTTTTTATAATATACAATACCTTATTAACAAGAATGATCAACTTATCCAATAAAGCTATAGGATTTTCTGCCATGCCAATAATAACTTCAGTGTGACTGAATAATTCTTTACCCTTTTTGGATAAAGTAAAATCATTCTCATAGAGCTCATAAATATTTGATTTAAGGAAAGTTTCTTCAATGTAGGCAATTATCACGTCATCCAATAATAAGTTAAATGTAGTACAATATTCTTGAATAGTATCTTTAGTGATTTGACACTTCTGAACCAGTTCATTCAGCAGGAGTCTCTTTTCTGTATGACATGCAGATAACCATGCACTCTGTTTTAAAAAAATTTGTTTTACTAAATAGAGTTTTTATGCAATCATTTTCATTCTATTTTAAAACTAAATTGTTTTCATATAGTTCACTTAAAATTATACTTACACCAAAATAAAAGTTTATTATTTTTTTGTTTATTTTAAATTTGAAAAATTATACAATAATTTTTCAAATTTAAATTTATCTAAGCAATATTTTTGAATTACATATTCAAATATATTATTTCAATCAAGTAATAGTTGTATAGTTAAGAAACACTTAAAATTATACTTACATCAAATCTAATGTTACATTCATGCAGTTTAAATTTCCAAAGAGCTTGGGTGTGATAATTTTGAAATTTAATCATGATATCAGTTAAACAATTTATTTGAGCATATGATACACCCAATGAAGTAATAGATAAAAGGCTTTTAATATCATTCTCAGACATTTTCATCAATTCCTGTAAATATATTTATTTTTATTATAAATAATTTTTAAAAATAAAAAAAAATTTGTATAGTTATTTCTAATTTATTTACAAGCTAAGACTTCAAATTAACTGTAATTAATCTTACTTTTCTAACTAAAATTATAAGTTACAATATTAAATCATACAAATAATTTCTATTATGTCTATTGTTCTCTTAAAATAAGAGAGAGATGCTGATTAATTAAAAGTGTGATCAAATCTAGAAAACCTATCTAGTATTTTTTTATGTTTTATTTACTAAATAGTAATTTGTATCTAGTATTTTCAGCGTGTTACTTCTATTAATAATTACAGATTTTATGATAAGAAAATACATTATCATTAAAACCAACATTGCAATTTAAACATGCTTTATTGTTAAATCAACTTAATTTCTGCAGTTATGAATACTTTCATAAAATTTAATTTACCAATGGCCATTGAAAATATTAATATTATAAAATAGTTCTTCATCAGAATTTTGTGCATTGTAATTTAATGAAGTTGAAAGTGTTACTGTAATATTTTGAACTCTAAGTTTGTTAGAGAGTTTTCAATTGATTCTAATAAATTTGGAACTGTTTAAAATTATTGTTATTGATAACTACTCTATAATTCCATATTGATTTAATAAGATTTCTTCCTCTTACAACAGCTTTTGTAAACAGTATATAAGGTTTAAGACTATAAAATAAATCTATAATGATAAATCTGGTTGATTCATAAGAGTTAATTGAATGAGTCTTACAGATTTCAATGAACAAATGTCTATTAGATTTGTTCAACTATATAAACTATATAAAAGTATCAACTGCACTAATCATATTTCAGTCACCCATAAGTTATAACCTACAGAAAAGCTTAATCATGAAGATATAATTTATAATTTTTCCAAAATATTGTTTCTGCAGATAAAGATCCAGTTATTTTATTGTTCTCTTCTTTATCTTTCCACTGTAACACATATATTATCAAAAATTGTATTTAATGTGAACTGAAATAACACTAAATAGCAAAGAGTTTTGATATACTATTGTCATATGAGAAAATTGAGCCATCACATGAAATCATTAAACTTAAAAAAAGGACAATTCTGAAATGAACGTATTTTATGCAGTGTCCAAAAACACAATACACAGATATCCATTTTTCTTGTAGACAACTATATTGCTGTATTTCTCATTTGAACATGTTAATTAAATATTTCCTTCAATTTGAATCAATATGTTATTAATAAAATTTTTTCAAGAACCACATTTATGTTATCACAAACCATAAATGTGATACTTCATTTCATCTTGATGTATATAGTCATTTTAATGAAAAACGTTGCCAAATGTGCTGAAGGGGTCATGGTATTTAGAATGACAAAATATTTTAATAGAAGCCTGTAATAGCTATGTTTTCTCATGAATTGAAATTACAGATGAAATGTTTATATAATGTATATTCTATAATTTGAATAAATTAAACAAAAACAGGGTTGGCATGATTTAAAAAAAATGTTTTAAAACATAGGCTTCGGATATAAAACATTTTTTTAAAACATTTAAAACATGGTTTTTTTTTGGAAATAAAACACTTGATCTAATAAAATAGAAAAAGAAAAAAAAACAGAAAAAATTCAGTGTTTGACTCAAGAATGTACAGAATGTTTTATTTAATATAAAATATAGCATTTTAAAATGTTTCTTTATGCAATGGCATTTTTAAGATTTGCATGTACAAATACCAAAACAGGATTGACAGCAGTGGCTTCTGCAGCTAGAAGAATTTCTTATTTTCAGAAATGTACAATGCTCAGTAGTGTTTGTTTAGGTGCTTGAAAACTTTAACAAGCTTTGCTGTCATTTCCTGTCCAAGTCAATTTCTAAGTTTTAAATGAACAAGTCCATAGATAGAAAAAATTCTTTCAATACCTGTTGAAGAAACCACTGCTGTGTGCAGCTGTGTAACTAATTTTAGAACAGGTTGATCAATTCTGTCACGTAATGACTGCCACCATGTAAGAGGAGTGATATTAGTTAACACAGACTCTGCAAAAATGTGTTGCAGAAATGGGCTAGATTTTGCCAAGTATTTTAAAACTGGAGGCATAGCGTCTGTTTTAAAATGCATAAGTATTTTAAAACAGACTAGTGGTAGTAAGCATGGCACAGAGTTAGTGCAGCGTCCTTCATACTCAGGGCCAGATCATTGCATAGACAAATGATACAAATGTCTAGGGCCTGGTTTTTAGAAGATCCCGGTCAAACTGTCTATTTTGAAAAGATTTGTAAATAAGATTCTTCTGATAATTTACATTTTTTATTCTTTTTTACAGTGATTAAATATTTTTTATTAATAAAAAATTAAGATTTGTTTTAGTTTTTCA